TACCAAAAATTATTGATAAAAAGTTAATATAAAGAAAGATGAAAGATAGAAATAATTACTGTAATAACTATGAGAATTCATAATATTATAACTAAAGAATGTAAAGGAGTGTGAATAATGTTTGCAATAATTAATAATAACTAAGAGAATTTATAATGTTATAACTAAAGAACTAGTGTGAAATAGATGAATTTCTAATAGATTTTATACTTACATAAATAAATAGGACTTTTAATTAATGTTACTATTTTTTTTTATAGTTATTAGATTTTAATTTAGTGTAGGGACAAAATGAAATTTTTTATTCCATATTACATAATATAAAATTTATTTTGTTAATGATAAATTTTAAATGATTCATATATTTTCACATTTGATGTGAGTTTCTTTTTAAAAAAAAAGAACTCGGAACTTTTTAAAATAATATATTTTGAAGTTAGAAGATCTTGTTAACTTTAGGCTACATAATGTTAACTTCATATCTTGGAACATTGCATAATAATGTATATACTAAGCAAAAAAATAATTATTGGATCATCACAATTATTTTTCTTAAGTACTCGAGGTTAAGAAATATACCCTCTTAGGATAGAACGACTTACTTAATCAGAATAGTGGTACCTCATATTCCGCTAAACTGCGAAGTCACACAACGATAATAAATCACACGAAATTTTTTAAAGTGCAAGAAGAAGAAGAGTAGAAGATTAAAAAAAATTGTGGTTGAAAAATGAAAGGAAGCCTCTCTATTTATAGTAAACAAAAGGTAGTATGAACAAGTGTTTTTTGTGTCTTATCTTAAAAGTCATGACTGATTCGAGAAGTCACAACTTATTGAAAAAGTCACAACAATTTGGAAAAGACACAACACTTTGGAAAAGTCACAACTTATCAGAAAAGTCACAACTCATTGGAAAAGTCACAACCTAAGTTAGGGATATTATAGTAATTTAACATTCAAGTTAGGAGTTCATGCTTTTAAGGTAACTAGTTTTTCGACACTTGCATTGCACGTGATTATCAATTCTAAAAATTTAAGCAAAGATTTGAATAATAAGCTTTGCACAAAATAATATTGCATATTATTTTGTGAATGTTCAATGTGGATCATCATATATAGCTCTTATTCACACGAACCTATGAAGATGGTCAATGAAAAATTTTATTAGTTAAATGCAATAATGTTTATTTTATTTCAATTTGATGAGGTTCAATCATGTAATTAGTCGTATCTCATTAATATTACCTTATAGACGATATTTGTTGTGTATTTTTCTTGTCATCTAACCAAATGTGCTTTTCACGTGTATTCCACTTAATTTGTTTAGAAGCCATATAAACTTTTCTTCGTCGAAAATATTGAAATATTAAGAAATGGTAAATTAGTAAAACAAAAGGGCAATGTTTACATAGTAATAACTATTTTGAAGCAAACTTCCTAACAATCTAAATCACATAAGTAGCATTGCTAAAAAAAGTCATTCTTTTGTCTTGAGCATCAAAAAAATAAATCGTGATAATTCTCTAACTCTTGAGAGGTTTCAGAATTTTGGGAAAAGATATTCAGAAATATATATCTACATCACAAGAGAAATTATTAACAAAATAAATGAATTTATACTATAATAAAATTAAACTAATACAAACTTCAATTGACGTTATTACAAGTCATATGAACTTTTCTTCGTTTAAAATATTGAAATATTAAGAAATAGTAAATAAGTAAAACAAAAGGGCAATGTTTATACAGTGACTCTTGAGAAGTTTAATAATTTTGGAAAAAGATATTCAGAAGCATATAATTACATCACGAGAGAAGTTGTTAACAAAAACAAATGAATTTAGACTACAATAAAAATTAAACTAATACAAATTTTAACTCGCATTATTTCAAGTCATATAAACCTTTCTTCATCAAATATACTTAAATATTAAGAAATAGTAAACCAATAAAACCAAAGGGCAATGTTTATATAGTAGTAACTATTTTGAAGCAATCTTCCTGACAATTTAAATCACATAAGTACCATTGATAAATAAAGCCATAAATTTGTATTGAGCATAAAAAACAAATCGTGACAATTCTCTAACTCTTGAGAAGTTTAATAATTTTTGAAAAAGATATTAAGAAGAATATATCTACATGACAAGCGAAAATGTTAATAAAAACAAATGAATTTTGACTGCATCATGTTAACTTCATATATTGGATCATTACATACTAATATATATATACTAAGCAAAAAAATAGCTATTATATGATCAGAGTTATTTTCCTCAAGTACTCGAGGTTAAAGAATATACTCTCTTAGGATAGAACAATTTACTTCATCGGAATAGTGGTACCTCATATTCCGCTAAACTTCGAACTCACTCAACGACAATAAGTCACACGAAATTTTTTAAAATGCAAGAAGAAGAAGAGTAGAAGATTTAAAAAAAATTGTGGTTGAAAAGTTAGAGGAAACCCCTCTATTATAGTCAACAAAGGGTAGTATGAACAAGCATTTTTTGGTGTCATGACCTTTCCAAAAAGTGACAAGCCTTTGGAAAAGTCACAACTTATTGAAAAAGTCACAACTCTTTGAAAAAGTCACAACTCTGTGGAAAAGTCACAACTCATCGAAAAATCACAACTTATCATAAAAGTCACAACATAAGTTAGGTATATTATAGTAATTTAACATTCAAGTTAGGAGTTCATGCTTTTAAGATAACTAGTGTCACGGCACGTGCGTTGCACGTGTGTATCGTATATAGTATATGATGTTGTAAAATAGAATTAATATTACTAAATTGTAGAGTTTTAGTAAATAATTATAATTGAACGAACATAGGACAAGTCTCTTTAAATTATTACTACATATTGTCATAGAGTTACTAGTATTTTGAGATAAGTATGACCAGATATCATTAAAACATTTAAAAATACATTCAAAGTTTAAATATGGGAGAAAGTGACATTTCTTTGATAATATTATTTTTACTTCACTCAATTTGTAAACAAATCTAACCAACAAAATAGAAAAAAAAATATCCATTCAAAAAATGTCACCAATAGCCTTTCCTCTTGAGGTTATGAACATAAATGATGTACACCATTTAAGTACAAATTTTATCTTAAGTATTTATACTTGAAATTTAGGATGTGCATGACAATAATAAGGATTACCATAAGTATTTCAATATTTTATCTTTATATGTAACATATCTTTTACAAAATATTATTACTCAATTAATATTTGTGTAAGGCTATCACAGAGAGGCAACTTTACCAAAAAAGTGTATTTGGCTGTTATCATGAATGGTGGTTATGTATACTTCAGTAGCATAATTTAATTTAAATATATGAATAATATCACCTATGTTGAAAAATATTTCATTTCATTAAGTTTCTACATTATCTTTGTGGAATTGTAGTCTTCCCCTTTTTTTCTGCCGCATACATATCATATAGTTGTTGTCTAATGAAAGCATCTAGTATCTTATAGAAGTTGTATCGTGATATAAAATGTTTAAATTTTTCAATAACAAAAATTAATAGATGAATAAAATTTAAAGTATTATTTATAGAATCATTAATTTGATTTAAGATCATCTTATGATCAATCATATAATATATGAAACCTTTTCAATAATAAAAATTAATAGATGAATAAAATTTAAAGTATTATTTATAGAATCTTTAACTTGATTTAAGATCATCGTATTATCAATCACTATTTTCTTATCTATTTTTATATAGCTAGTAAGGAGTGTATCTTGTGATATAAAGAAAAAATATATGGAACAAGACATAGCGAATGAAGAAGGAAGACTAAAATATATGTTCATGCTAAATTCACTCTAGTGTTCCATTTGATTTAAATCTCTTGTCACCAACACTTTACTTTCCCCGTTCATTTTTACATACATATCTATTAAAAAATAAGTATTATCATGGTCATGTTATCATATTATAAGTAAAAGTGAAAATCTATTTTTGAAATAGTGAATTTAACATCAAAACTAATAATTCAATGGATACCCATTGTTTTAGCAAAATTAGGAAGAAACTCCTTCGTTTGAGGGAAAAGAATAAAAAATAAAAAAAACAAAGAAGAAATATTTTACCCAAATCATATGTCTCGTTTAATATTATTGTCTCTCCCACAACTTTTTGTCACTGTTAACTCGTGAAACTGGTAAGAAAAAATATGAGTGTGAATTGATGAATGATTTGCTACAATTTTTTCATCAACTCTTTCTTAACCTTGAATTTCGTTGAATTTCGAACTTGATCATTTTTTGTAAATAACACTTGAGATTTTTTAAGAAAAAGAAGAATAGAGAACTTAATAAATTGTAGTTTAAAAGTGTGAGGAAACCCCTCTATTTATAGCTACCAAATAGTAGTATGAATAGGTGTTAATTGTGCCTTATCCGAAAAGTCACAACCTTTCAAAAAAGTCACTGCTTATCGGAGAAGATACTGTTTATTGGAAAAGTCACAACTCATCAGAAAAAGGCACAACCCTTCGAAAAAATCACAACCCTTCGGAAAAGTCACAACTCATTGGAAAAGTCACAACCCATCAAAAAAGTCATAACCCTTTGGAAAAGTTACAATCCTTTAATTTGAAAAGGTATCTACTTTCAATATAATAAAATTAATAAATAAAATAAATTGAGTATTTTTAATTAGGGATATTATAGTAATTCAACATTTAAGTTTGGGAACTCATGCTTTTAAGGTAGTATAGATAGATAGATATAGATAGATAGATAGATATAGATATGACTAAAAAATAAATTAAATATAATATTTATAACCTATTCAGTATGTTTTACTTTTACGCTTAGTCTATTTATTAGTTCCTCAAAAGTCAAAATAAATTAGTTCATATGGAAATCTTAACCCTGTATATACTATGCCTACCAAATAGACTCGTGCAAAATTTTCAGTACCCATTGTTTTTTAATTTCGTATAAATAGTCACACCTAATTTCTGGTTGTTTGGGGGAAGAATCATAACAAACTAAAGCATAACAATGAGGATGTGGTGGTTTATAACAACTTTAGCCATTACTGCTTTCTTTTGTAATTCCCCTGTTTATGCTTATGATAACAACCCTCTACAGGACATATGTGTTGCTGTTAACGACTCTCATGCTTCAGGTTAATCCTCCTTCTATATTATTTATTTGTTTCAGAATGAGGCATAGTTTTTGTATGTATGTTGTACAATTTATGTCACATCTTATTATCTGAGTAATATGCGCTTAGCTTCATTTTATTGTACGTGTGCAGTTTTCGTGAACGGGAAGATTTGCAAAGACCCAAAGCTTGCAACAGCGAATGATTTCTATTTTTCAGGTCTTAATGTAAGTGGAAATGAAGTGCCTGGGTTAGGTTTTGCTTTAAAGACTGTGGATGTAAACAACATGCCTGGACTTAACACTCTTGGTATTACTCTTGTTCGTGCTGACCTGGAACCACAACGTATTGGACCATTTCACATGCACCCTCGAGCTACTGAGATGATAACTATCCTGGAGGGTACTACTTAAGCAGGATTTCTTGTCCCTGATCCTGCAAACTTCTTTAAGAGTCGTCTCTTTTCCAAAATCTTGAATCCTGGCGATGTGTTTGTGTTCCCACAAGGTCTTATTCACTTCCTGTATAACGTGGGATACAAAAAAGCTACTTTTCTCTTTTATTTCAATAGTCAAAATCCTGGATTTGTCATTATTCCTTATTCAATCTTTGCTTCAAATCCACCTATTTCAGACGACGTTCTTGCCAAAGGCTTCCAGCTGAATAAGACACAGATTGCAGAACTTCGAAAGAAATTCTCTTAAGGTTATATAATGCATGTCGTTAAAAATGTGATTCTGTGTTTTTTCAGAAAGTTGTTTGCAGCACGTTAGGTGCTCACGCGTCTTATGAATGCGTTGGAATAATACTTTACTCCTAATAAATCAAGTGGCAATGTATGTACCTATAATCTTTCTTTGCAATATAATGAATAAGCCCATGCACCTTTTGTAATCTAAGAGTGGAATAGACACTCTTAATGGCTATATATAATTTCTATAATAAATTAAGTTATCCAAATTGGTAACCCTCTTTATATGTTTGAGTAGGATACATGAATTGAATTTAAACAAAATTTCCTGCATTTGAACATTTCAAAGTTGAGTTATACCTCATTGGGGGCACCAATGCGACCCCAATTTGCAAATCACTATGATAAAAGAGATCTTTAGTGGCAATATATTTTCTAATATTGCCGCAAAAGTATTTAGTGACAATTGAGTTAATATCATTGCATCCATTGTGGCTAAAGCCTTTAGTGACATTTATATAGAGAACTGGTACTTTTAGCGGCAATTATTTGAAAATTTGTTGCTAAGGTCTTTAGTGCTCATCAAGATCACAAAAACAGAGTCTGGAGAATCGAAGTCATAATACATTTACCCTGAAATTATTCATTTGTCGATATCAACAAGGATTTGCACAACTAAAAATAATGTTAAAATGTAAACTTAGGTTCCGCAGATTCAACAGAAAAATTCAGGAGCACTAAATATATTTTAACAGATTGAAAATAAACAAAACTGGAAAGCTCATCAAGCAAAGAACAACAAAAAGACGAGAGATACTAAAGTTTTCAATTCGCATGGAATCGATATATCTGGAAGTACAAATATCCACTTGACATAGCAAAAGATGAAGAGGAGAAATCATGAATAGCAAAAGGATTTTTATGTTCTTTTTTTTTTTTGGTTTTCCACCCGGTGTCCGGAGCCCACATTGGAGCTCCGACTAAATCCGGATCGTGCATTGCAGGGCCCATTCGGGGGTGGCGCTCCCAACGGAGTTTTCTCCATACCCAGGGCTCGAACCCGAGACCTCTGGTTAAGGGTGAAGCACTCCCACCAGTGCACCACAACTCATGTTGGTAGGATTTTTATGTTCTTACCTCATCTCGACTACTGATCGTGAGATAGAGAATTTTAAATCATCCTCTCAACCTAAAAATTGAAGAAAACGAAATATGATTAATATATAAAGGTTTTTTCAGCTATGTTTTCGCCAAAGCTATACTACGCTAATCAAATCAACTCAAGTTTTAAAAAGTGAAATCGAAAAGCAATCAAAGTAATGTTTTAAAATCCAACCTGAGTTAATTGAAAGGAATAACCTGATCAGGAGTAATAAATAAAAAAAATCTAAATATTTTGCCAAACACTTTGTGAATGCAGTAGCATTCCTTATCTTATAGTAAACAAATTTAAACCAAATTATAAGAAAATCAGAAGAAAGTGATCAAGCTGGTGCTTGTGATCAATTTTGTGAATCTCAAAGCTGCCGCTTCAGATGGAATGGAGAAAGAGTGATCGAACCCTTTTGAATTTGGTGAATTTAGAGAAGTTTTTTGAATGAATTTGAATTTGATGAATGTAGAGTGATCGAGCTCTTTTGAAATTGAAGGTAGAGAATGTTCGGAAATTTTAGAGTAAAAAAGTTTTTATATTTATATGTTATCGGACTAATTGCAATCAAATGGATAACTTCTACTGAAAACATGATTTAGCAACAATTATATTGTTGTTCCTAATTGATTTTATGGGATCAGGTGTGCCTTTTAAGCATGGTGATCTTTGTGAGAAGTGAGAACCCTGTAACGCTGCTCATCCGATTTGTGACCGTGGCATTGCTGATGATAGAAGATATGAGGAACGACTCGATTATAAGGCCATTAAAGAATATATATATTGTTAACAAAAACTCCAATACTATTAAATTTGAAAAGAAAAATGGAATAGTGTGTTAGGTAATTATAGTAATTCTTTCTTACATGGTTACCTATTTTGTTGTCTTATCCACATGATTTAAATGAACCCACACTATTATCCTTATATTTATCTTTTTCATTTCTCTATCACTATTTTTATTCTCGAATATTTGAAGTCTCTCAAACGATCAAACATTCTACATTGTGCAAAATCTAATGTTGTCTGTTTACAAAAAAAGATCAAATTTGTTTTTCGACATCTTCTTCAAATTTCAAGTACTGTAACAAGTCAACAATATTTCAATATCACTATATCAACTCTTTTGCATCTGTTGGCTACCGAGAAAGGCCCTTACCTTGAACAAAGATTACGAAGTGGAGTTACCATAGAGCAAAATTGGAATCATCCAATATTGTGGAGATCAAATCGTGCAGGATGATTGTGAATTCATTGACCAGATAGAATACAAAAAAGAAAGATGAAAGGTGCAGGGTACCTGAATAGATGGTAGCTCTTGATACCATGCTAGAGAGACATGAGATTTCCTAAATAGTATTTCTGTTAATTTAGGATATGATATAGTAGAAAATATTTATAGCTATAAAATTGTAGGGTTAGAGTCCTATTTTAAGAAAGAGTATATATTGCTATAATTATACAACCTGAAATTAAATCTTATTCTAAATTTTTTTGGTTATTACTATACAATGTATATAGCATTGTCTAACAAGAGCAAGCAAACAGACTCCATGCTAATTGGTTCATTAGGAACTCTATACTTAGCCCTACCAAATAGACTCCATGCTAAATTTTCAATACCTTTTGTTTTTCTCTAGTATAAGTTGTCACATCTTTCTGATTGTTTGGAAAAAATCATAACAAATCCAAATCATTACAATGAGCATGTGGTGGTTCATAACAACATTAGCCATTATAGCTTTCATTTCTAATTCCCCTGTTTATGCTTATGATAACAACCCTCTACAGGACATATGTGTTGCTGTTAACGACTCTCACGCTTCAGGTTAATCGTCTTTCTATGATTCTGTTATTTGTTATCATCTGAATAATATGCTTAATTATCTTCATTTTATTTCACCTGTGCAGTTTTTGTGAATGGAAAGATTTGCAAAGACCCAAAGCTTGCAACAGCAGATGATTTCTTTTTTTCAGGTCTTAATGTTAGTGGAAATCCAGAGACTTTGTTTGGTTTTGCTGCAACTCGTGTGGATGTAACCACCATGCCTGGACTTAACACTCTTGGTATTTCTATTGTTCGTGCTGACTTGGAACCACAGGGTCTTGTTCCATTTCACACGCACCTTCTAGCTACTGCGTTGATAACTGTCCTGGAGGGTACTGTTTATGCTGGATTTCTTGTACCTGATCCTGCAAACTTTTTTAAGAGTCGTCTCTTCTCCAAAATCTTGAATCCTGGCGATGTGTTTTTGATCCCACAGGGTCTAATTCGCTTCGTGTATAATGTGGAACACAAAAAAGCTACTTTTCTAGCTAGTTTCAACAGTCAAAATCCTGAAGCCATCATGATTCCAAGTTTAATCTTTGCTTCAGAACCACCTATTATGGACGACATTCTTGCCAAAGGATTCCAACTTAATAAGTCAGAGATTGCAGAACTTCGAAAGAAATTCTCTTAGGCTATATTATATGTCAGTAAAAATATGATTCGTGTATTTCCTGAAAGTTGTTTGCAGCGCGCTGCTCACCAGCATCTTATGAGTGCGTTGGAGTAATACTGTCACTTTGTAAATCCTAAATAAAGTGGCAATGTATGTAAATCCTAAATAAAGAGGCAATGTATGTAACTATAATCTTTCTTTGTGGCAATGTATGTAAATCCTGTATGTAAATCCTAAATAAAGAGGCAATGTATGTAACTATAATCTTTCTTTGTAATATATACTAATAAATAAGCACTGTGTGTAATCTGAGTACTGCGAACGATTTGGTATGAAGGAAAATGTTTTCTTAGAAAATCCATACCAAACATACTCTACATGTTTAAGTAGGGGTACAGGGAGGTAGTGCACCTGACAGTCTCTCAACTCTTTATTAGCTAAAAAAGTGCTTCTATATATAACCACACTAATCTTTCTTTCCACCACCAATTTGGGAGAAAGTTCCTATCAAAAGGAACTTAGCTTCAAATTTTCCATGCATTTCTCATTCACACTAATACTTAACTTAACTACAACATGTCTTATTATTCCGCTTTAAATATTTATATATAGTTTGTTCATTCTTCTATTGCGCATTGGAAGTAGAAGAAGTTATACCTAATGCTTCGTGTCCTAAAACTGTGACAGATACTTTCTATTTGCTTTGTACTGAAATGATCCTTTCCGTTGTCAAGGAGAAAATGTGCAGACGAAACTGATGGAAACTCACACAAACCATTAGAGTAGATATAATATCATGAAACCATGCCAACTATTATATTACAATCTATATTTTTCATTATAGTCAATCGATCACCTGCAGGCACCGATGCGATCCCAATTTGCAAATGCCCCATCTGATCCAAAGCTAAGGTCCTTAATGCTCCTGGTTGATTTTATTGGACCAGGTGTGCCTTTTAAGCATGGTGATCTTTGTGAGAAACCAGGAACACTTCCAATCCTACTTGTGACCGTGGCATCGCTGTTGATAGAAGATATGGGAGATAGTTTGTACTTGTAGGGAGAATTAATCTCGGAGTAGACATCAGTATTGATTGGTCTTAGCCTTGGTGAACTCATTGATCTTGCTTTTGCTTTTGCAGATTCCGTGGCTGCCATGTAAGTTGGAATCGAAGGAGATCCCGTATAAGTATTGTCATAATCCCCACTTGATTTCTGTCTTCCTCTTGGAACATATACTGGTGAAACCAATTCTTGATCTGTATGGTATTGTCTAAAAGAAGGCTTTGGTTTCATTTCTTTTCTCTCAAATTCTTCTCTGTTTCTTGCTGAGAAAAGCGTGTCCATGTTTTTAAGGTCATCTCTTTTAGCCAGCTGAGCATCTACCCATTGTTCTAACTAGTATCCCCTTCTTCCATTTACATCTGATTCTGTTGACCTCTGCAAGTAAGAGTACCCCTTGTGAAATTATAATTCAGAGTCTGTGTGATGAATATGATCAAGGAATTGAGAAATAGATAAGATACTTACTCAATGGCTTAACCAGTATTCTCTTATACGTTCTCTCTTGATCGCAGCCTCCCTTTTGCTTGAGAACATCTTGTTTGCTTCTTCCTTAGACAAATATCGATTGTCCCACATTTTCTGTCTGTTTAGATCAATCTGCAGAATTAAACAAATTGACTAGGCTGGAATAGTTATTATACCTAATGATAATTACTCTCATCATCATAAGAATTTTCAATCTAGTTTCATTGCAAGATCACATCTCAGTTGTGGATTTATTTTTTGCAATACTAGGCATGAGTTGAACTATGCCTTTTTTCACTCTAAAGTATTGTATCTAAGTAATTAGCTCCTAAACGGGTGTAATTTATGTAGGTTTCCCTTTTAAGCTTCCGCTATCTATTGGTCCCTCAAAACCCAACCTATTATTTTCTAATCTAAAATTACCCCTCTTCCTAATGGAAAAACGTGTGAATCTCTACATAATCTCAGGGCACCATATAATTTGTTCCATTTGGAACTCTATACTTAGCCCTACCAAATAGACTGAAGCAAAATTTTCAATACCACTTGTTTTTCTCTCAAGTATAAATAGTCACACATTTTTGGTTGTTTGGAGAACAATCATAACAAACTTAAAGCAAACAAAACTTTGCAGATGATAACAATGAACATGTGGTGGTTCATAACAAGTTTAGTCATTACTGCTTTCTTTTGTAATTCCCCTGTTTATGCTTATGATAACAATCCTCTACAGGACATATGTGTTGCGGTTAACGACTCTCAGGCTTCAGGTTAATCGTCTTTCTGTAATACTGTCATTTGTTATTATCTGAATAATATGCTTAGCTTCATTTTACTTTACCTGTGCAGTTTTCGTGAATGGAAAGATTTGCAAAGACCCAAAGCTTGCAACAGCAGATGATTTCTTTGCTTCAGGTTTTAATGTTAGTGGAAATGCAGTGCCGGTGATTGGTATTGCTGCAACTTTTGTGGATGTAAACAAGATGCCTGGACTTAACACTCTTGGTATGTCTATTGCTCGTTTTGACTTGGAGCCACAAGTATTGCTCCACTTCACATGCACCCTCGAGCTTCTGCCCTGATAACCATCCTGGAGGGTACTCTATATGCAGGGTTTCTCGTTCCTGATCCTACAAGCTTCTTTAAAAGTCGCCTCTTTTCCAAAATCTTGAATCCTGGTGATGTGTTGTGCTCCCACAAGGTCTAATTCACTTCCAGTATAATGTGGGAAACAAAAAAGCTACTTATCTCACTTTTGTGAACAGTCAAAATCCTGGACTTGTCATGATCCCTAGATCAATCTTTGCTTCAGAACCACCTGTTCCGGACGACATTCTTGCCAAAGGCTTCCAGCTTGATGAGACACAGATTGCAGAACTTCGAAAGAAATTCTCTTAGGCTATATTATATTTATATGTCATTAAGAATATGATTCTGTGTGTTTTCTGAAAGTTGTTTGCAGTGCACTGCTCACCAGCATCTTATGAATGTGTTGGAATAATACTGCCACTCTGTAACTCCTAAATAAAGTGGCAATGTATGTAACTATAATCTTTCTTTGCAATATATTCTAATGAATAAGCATTGTATTGGCCATGCACCTCTGAGAGTGAAATTGACATGCCTAATGGAGCCAAAATGGTACCCCACCCCTCTCTTATATGTTTTAATTCAGTTGGTTGAACTGAATTAAAATGGACTGAGTTAATAAATGAACAGGTTATTGACCCTTCTTTGTTTGAGTTAGGGTACATTAAGAAAATCATACTATCTACCATCAAGTCTAGATTTTGAGTTTACATGCAAAAATGACTTATTATAGCATGTCAATTGTTGATTAAAAATGCAGGTTCATAACTAGTCTGAAGCCAAATTGGGTCATGTTTATGTATTTTACACCTTATAGTCACAAGGGGACTTTCTTCTCAACTCTTTATTAGCTAGAAGAAGTGCTTCTATAAATAAGCACACTAATCTTTCTTTCCACCACCAGTGAGGGAGAAAGTTCCTATCAAAAAAGAGCTTAGCTTCAAATTTTCCGCATTTCTCATTCACACCAATACTTAACTCCAGCATGTCTTACTACTCTGCTTTAAATCTTTCATCAATCTACTAGTCAGACTACGACTTCCTTAACCCACAACCTCATGATTTTGCAAAGAAAATAACTTGAACCCACCCCGCACCCACACCAACCCCATTGTCATCCCTAGTTGCATAAGGCATAACTTTAATTTGTAGCATATCTTGAGTAAGAGATTTATTCAGACGAAACTGATGGAAACTCACACAAATCATTAGAGTAGATATAATATTATGAAACCATTCCAACTATTACATTACAATCTATATTTTCCATTTTAGTCAATCGATCACCTGCAGGCACCGATGCGATCCCAATTTGCAAATGCCCATCTGATCCAAAGCTAAGGTCCTTAATGGTCCTGGTTGATTTTATGGGACCAGGTGTTGCTTTTAAGCATGGTGATCTTTGTGAGAAGCCAGGAACACTTCCAATCCTACTTGTGACCGTGGCATCGCTGTTGATAGAAGATATGGGGAGATAGTTTGTACTTGTAGGGGAGAATTTATCTCAGAGTAGACATCAGTATTGATTGGTCTTAGCCTTGGTGAACTCATTGACCTTGCTTTTGCTTTTGCAGATTCCGTGGCTGCCATGTAAGTTGGAATCGAAGGAGAGCCCATGAAAGTATTGTCATGATCCCCACTTGATTTCTGTCTTCTGTGGTGAAATGATCTTCTTGGAACATATACTGGTGAAACCAATTCTTGATCTGTATGGTATTGTCTTAGAGAAGACTTTGGTTTCATTTCTTTTCTCTCGAATTCTTCTCTGTTTCTTGCGGAGAAAAGCGTGTCCACGTTCTTAAGGTCATCTCTTTTAGCCAGCTGAGCATCTACCCATTGTTCTAACCAGTATCGCCTTCTTCCATTTACGTCTGATTCTGTTGACCTCTGCAAGTAAGAATACCCCTTGTGAAATTATAATTCATAGTCTGTGTGATGAATATGATCAAGGAATTGAGAAATCGATAAGATACTTACTCGATGGCTTAACCAGTATTCTCTTATACGTTCTCTCTTGATCGCAGCCTCCCTTTTGCTTGAGAACATCTTGTTTGCTTCTTCCTTAGATAAATACCGATTGTCCCACCTTTTCTGGCTGTTCAGATCAATCTGCAGAATTAAACGAATCGACTAAGCTGGAATAGTTATTATACCTTAAAGTGGGAGATGATTATTTTGTGAAAACTACTCTCATCATCATAAGAATTTTCTATGCTAAGCATGAGTTGAACTATGCCTTTCTCCACTCTAGAGTTTCTTATGCATTGAACAGAAGTGGACTACACGAAAAGTCCCTAAAATTTTGGTTCACTATATCCCTAGCAATTTGATGCTCTGTCTATATGGAAAGAAACAACAGAACATGATACATATATCATGTTAGATTTGACCGGAGCATTGCACAACTTCTTACCTTGATATCTTTCTCTCCGAGATCCAGCAACGTATTTTCTTGACAATGTACTGTAGTTTTCACCTGATTATCACATCTCTTTGCACATACTTCCGATTGAATGTTTACAATTGACTGCAAGGACCTAAGTGTAGCAATAGCCTGACGTCGAACAGCCCTACCACGAACAATAGCTTGAAGCCTCACTAGTCCCTTTAGTGCTCTCAAAGCTTTCCTTGCCTGAAATTAAACTCAAGGGTGAAAAACATTTCCTTGTGATTGCAGAGAATTGACCTTAACAGAAGATCGCGAAAGAAAAAAAAAACATACAAGATAGCTGCGAAATGCTGTCTGAATTTTGATGGCAGCAAGATTTTCAATCCTTCTCTCATAGAGGTAAAAGTACTTTGTTTCTTGGCCATGAATAGTCATTTTTGACAATACAAGAGTTTCATTTTTCGGCCTGTGGCAGATAGACTCAGTGCCTTCTTTAAAGGTAGCGATTTCAGCTTCAACTATTGGAGTTTCAGCATCTGCATTCGATTCATTAATTGTTTCAACATCTACCTTTATAGCATGCTTGTTATGCTTCTCTTCTGCTTTCTGGTGTCTCCTTTCCCTTGGTGGTGACAACGCGGAGGTCGCCACCAACCTTCTGATCTTTAGCCTTGTAAATACCCATCCTTTCCTTTTCCCCTACAGATACAATAGCTGCACAATGTCAATAAAATTGGATATACAATTTCAACACACAAAGATCACCTACATTCCGTGGCATGAGGTTGATTCAGCTGATCCCACAATTTTTCACTCAGATCATAGAGATATATACATTAAAACGCTACAACATAAAGTTTTTAACACGTATTTTCAAAGAACTCGGAATCTTGAAATGAACCTATAAAGATTAAATTTTGAATTCGTCTCTGCTTATGTTACGGGATCTACTAGAAATTGATTGACATAAGTAAAGTCATTTACCTTGTCTAATCTTGATTCTGATCCTGAAACGAAAAATGTCTTGAGCAAGTTGAACCAGCTCTTCTTCTTTGCCATGAATTTAGAACTACCTCATGTATGACCCTTGGATGAAGCAACAAGATCTTTTTGGGAGTAATTTAAACATAAGAATACAAAAAGGGAAGTTTCTTGTTAAAATAGAAGATCTATTGGTAACAGAGCCTTTGGGAATTGAAGCATATTTTTTTATGAGAATTTACTAAGATTAGTAGGCATTTAACACCAAAAAGATATCATAGGTTTTCTCATTCATTTCTAAAAATAACCAAAATCTTCTGAAGTAAGCAACTCTACTTAACTAGGACTCTAGCCTTAAAAGTCCCACCAAAGAAAAATAAATAAATGAAGCCTTTTTCATGATGGAAACAGTGGAAATACAAGACATTAGAATAAGGTGTATACTTTTCTTTTATGTATTCAAAAATAAATAATAATTCACATTTCTCTTTTCTCTATCTTCTTTATGATGGCTTTCTCCTGTTTCAACATGTGGGTTTTTCACTACCAGGGATGTAGTGTGATGGATTAGATCTCTTAATTTTAAAATTTCGAGGTTTTAGGTTCGAGTTTTGAAAATGAAGGAAATCCTAGTTAGTAAATGGCATGCATTTTGGTGTCTTCATGTAGAGGCGCCACATGCAATTTAGTTGAACCCAATAATAACTTTTCCTTGAATAATGTATTTGTATTAAAATATTCATTAAACATGTACTATATATTTTGAGAAGACATAATATATAAATGTGTCGTTTAACTTGGCTTCAGATGACATCTATGCCCTCCAGCTTTGAGTGTGCACAAGTAAGCACTTGTATAAAATTGGACAATTAGACACACATCAAACGTGGCATATTACATGCAGGAAGCCAGGTAGGATGTGAATTGTCACATAGAATGTCATATAGGATCCATGTGTCTACTTGTTCAATTTTGTACAAAAATTTAATTACCTACTTGTGCAAACTCAAAATTGGAGGACAACGATGCTAATTGAAACCAAGTTAAAAGGCATTAATTCATACCAATTGGAGGGTCATTCTAAATCTAGAACTCATAAAGGATAAAATTTGGGTTCTACTCCTAACTTTATGCAACATAAATTGAATTAGTCGAGTCAGTAAACTTCAGAAAAAATAATACATGACCTTTAACTTGGCTTCAACGGACAACTATGCCCTCCAACTTTGAGTGTGCACAAGTAAGCACTTAAATTTGTATAAAATTGAACAAGTAGACACATGTTCTACATGTCATAATACACGTAGGACACAAAATTGTCATGTAGGGTGCCAAGTAGGACGGATGTATCTATTTGTTCAATTTAATACAAGTTTAAGTGTCTATTTGTGCATACCCAACGTTAAATGTCATAGTTACCAGCTGACGCCAAGTTAAGGGTCATGTCTGTGTATTATAAAAATAAAAAATAAAAACCATATGGGCCTTGCAAGTGATAGAAGTGTGGAGGGAGAGGCCTTTCACATTGATGGAGGGAAACCTGATGGATTATGAATTATGAATTGTGTTTCTCTTCCAGCTGCTATTTTGTTTTCTTCAGCTACAATTGACATGTTCGAATGTTTGATACTGACACTACCACTTAGCCCAAGTGGGGTACACACAACACATACCAAAACATGATCATATGTTCTTTCATTTTTATTATAATATTAACGGATCAAAAATACATTTAATTATCACTTTCTTGTGAGTTTCACATTTTAACTATCAATTGTTTTATTTTTCTACTTGAACGTTGATATGATAGTTCAGTTAGAAGAATAAAATAACTGATCGTTAAAAGGTGAAACTAATAAATCAAGGAATGATTTAAGTATATGTTTTTGATCATTAATACATACTATTAATAATGGAAGGTCTGGATATTCTGTCAAACTAATGCTATTATTTTGTCCTTTTTCATATGGAATTCTTTAACTTGAATTATAGTAGTAATATTATATTTTGAAGCAAAAAATAAACAGAAAAGGGTCAAATATACCTTTGTACTATTGAAAATAGTCTATATATACCATTTGTTATACTTTTGGATCAAATATATCCCTATTATTATACTTTAGCACATATATACCCCTAATTTTAACAGAGGGACATATGTCAACTTAAAAATCAAATAACCCACTTATAATTTTAAATACCCAATTCCTTTGAAACCAACCCATTTCCTCTGGTGAACCAAATCCAAAATCTTCTCTTTTGTTTACTTCAATTAAACAACTATTCATATTTTCAGTAAAAAATCATGTTTAGTATCTGTTCTTGTTTGGGGTAATCTGAGTGCTGAGTTTTGATATTGATCGAAGGTCCTATGGACGAAGCACAAAAACACAATGCACACTCGGCCAAGTTTGCTTTTGGTTATCAAGTTCTGAATCCAGATCTCCGGGCCTTATTCATTCTGGTTTCGGACTGTTTCTAATCGGATCTGATTTCTGACATTTGATTTTTTAGATTTTGTTTCTCCTTAAATTAAAAAAAATAACAAATCCATTTCCATTAAAATCAGCACTCAACCACGACGAAAGCTCACCTTAAAACTCAAGGAAGAAGTGAAAAGCTTATACCATCTAATTGAATAATGGCACAAAGATCACATGACGAACTCTTTGCTGATTTTTCAATTTTGCTAATTGTATTTTTTAGGGAAATTTTTGCATCAAAGTGGATAAGACAACTAACAGTAATAATGCACTTATTTGCTCTACATTCCCAATTTCACTACACTAATTTTCTTAGTTTTTGCTTCAAAGTTAGATGGAGAAAAGAAATATATTAATAGATAGAGATGAGTTTTCAGCTAGTGAATCAATGATGAGGAGATTTGATTCTTAAGTTGACATGTGTTCCTCCGTTATAATTAGGGGTATATATGTGCCAAAGTATAACGGTAAGGATATATTTGATCCAAAAGTATAACGAAGGGTATATGTATATTATTTTCAATAGTACAAGGATATATTTGACCCTTTACCCAAAAATAAATATAGGATGGGGTAGTTGAGAGATTTAAAGACCTTTTGGGGGTTAGGTTAGTAGTGGAACCATAAAGATATGTGGTATGGGCTATGGGACAATGTTCTTATATTTTCAGATATATGAATTCTGGTACAACTAATTAATATTATTATTATTATTAATATGATTGTGAAAAGTTTTCGATAGAAAAAAGAGTGTATACTTAATTATTTAAAGTGATTTTGAAAAGTTCTTAAAAAGTTTGGAATTGAGAAGTAATCGTTAATTATTAATGTATGATTATGAAAAGTGACACTAATGTTCTGCCTATCCATAATATAAAAAGTAGTTTTGATGTGTTAGCTTAACATATAAATTAGTGACATGATACACCATTTGTAATGCACATTTGTTTTAATTGAATGAGGACTATTCCTAGGATATCAAAAATCAAAGAAAGATGAAAGGTTGGATTGGAGATAATGACTAGTCTAAAGTCCCTCTTGCATAATTTTGACACGTAGATATATGATTTACCAATTTAAAATTTAAAATTTATCAATTCTTATAAGAATATCAAGTTAATATATAACAATAACTAATTGCTTATTGTTCAAATATTTACAACAACAACAATATATTTGATGTATAATTTTAATAGTAGTATCTCGAGAGGATATTGTGTATACAGCCTTATCTCTATCTAGTAAAGATAGAAAGATTGTTTTCACTACACCCTCGACTATGATCAAATATTCATTATCATACTCAATATAATTCCACAAATAGAATCTGGAAAAAAAAAATGATGTATGTTGTTTTTGATGGATCATAACATTTGTAATATAATATATTAAATTTGAGCAAAAGTAGCTGAATTCTAAATATGTCACCATCAACTATAGTACTTGTAGACAATGATATGGTGATGAATATGCAAAAGCAATGTTTCTTTATTCAATGTAAGCATTATTACAACACCTTTTTCTTGGGAGGGATTAAATTATTGAAGGTGGTAGGGTAGTGGTAATGTGCCAAGGAGATAGAGAATGTGAAGAAGAAAATAGAACAGGCTTGAGTGGTAATAAGGAATAGACAGCCTGTTGTTGGCCTTTCTTGTCTAGTCCACCATATGCCAACTTTTATTTAATAAAATTACTAAATAAATGACTTGTCAAATAAAAAGTAACTCATTGATAAATGAGGTCACTAAGGTTTCTATTCAAGGGGATGGCATGTGCCAATATGTATAGTGAGGACTTCCACTCAAAATTATCACCTATAATATTATTTTTTTAAAATATAGTTAAGTAGATATACTAACTACGTTTGCTTAGATATGTACTTTTTTCATATAGTTTTGTAGGCCCAAGTTAACTCAGATATTTATGTTCTGACCCCCCAACTTTACGAGATTTTATTTAGGGATCTAAACTTGTGTAAGTTTTTTTTTTTTTAATTATTTATTTTTCTTTAAAATCTGTTTTGAAAAATATATTATTTTCTATATTTAGTAACTTTTTAATTTCTAACATTTACGTTTGCCTTTAGCGATACTCCTAATAGAAATAATATGACATGTTTAAGTTCATAAAATTCGAAGAATTTTTTTTATATGTTGTACACATTTTTAGTTTGAAATAATAAGACTTAGAGAAACTACCTGGTTTGACAGCTAGAGCCAAAATAAAAATATATATATATGAACCTCACTTATGAAATGCTACTAATATTAGTCCTAAACCTTTTTTACAAAAAATATAAAAATGGCTAAAGCCCTTCTCTCTTTTGTTAAAATGTTGTTACTCTTTCTTTTCTTGCTTTATCCATGTTGGCTATAAAATGGCTAAAATGTTACTATACTGATCAATATTTCTTTTTAAAAGTAAATGCTACTAAGTTAGTACTAATATTTGAGATTAACAATAAGACTTTTCTCAAAATTGTACTGCTAAACATTAGTTAATTGGATTGGGTCGAATGATTAAATAGAGGAGTATATAGATTATTTTACTATCATCTAGCCGTGCGATAGGATTATCTACAATTAATTAATCAGAAGTTCCGAATGCGAGTTTAAAAAGAACTGGAGTTTTTTTTCCTGAATGGGCCCCAAAAAAAATAAATTGTAACTTGCTTTGGCACATAAGTAAATCTTTTTGCATTAACAAAGTAAAGCAACAGCATGCTTTATGCTACTTGTTGGTGTAGAGGTAACAAGTATGACATTATGCATTGTAGTTCACAAGGCTCGTGCACTAAGTTTTATAATTGATTCAAAAATTTATCAAAAAGATGAATCAAAAGTAGATGCTTATCAAGCAAGAATACTGTAAAACAAGATTATAAAGAAGCCAGAAATAATAGATAAGTAACATGTTCATTGCAGCATATAGTAATTTCATCAAACAGCATAGCAAAGCTTTAAGTACTAATTCAAGTTTCAAGCATAGAGTTTACAACTCTTACTGATAACATGTCTCAAAGACAAACAAAAACCCATATTTAGAATGTCTACGCGCAGTGATCTGCATAGATACGAATCCAAAATCTCCCAAAACAACAGCATAAAGAGACTTAGAAGGTGGTGCAATGCAACCATCTAATCCAAATCTGATGAAGAGGGCGATTCAGAGTAGATTGACTCATCATCAGATTCATCTTCATTATCCGAGGAATCAACAAGGTTATCCTCATGTTCATCGATCCAAGGGCTCCGAAAGTCTACAAGCTTTTTACATCTTACCTCAAGATCACCCTTCAGCTCCACATTCCAACACCCTTGGATTTCAAGGTGTGTTAGTGCCTTACACTGGGTGAGAATAGCCTCAATGCCAGTATCGCTCAACCGGTTGAAAGCAAAGTCAAGGCGCTGGAGACCTTTCATAGTTTCCGCTATAATCAGCGCCTCCTGATCATTGACATCAGAAGCTTCAACACTGGTGGGCAGCTCCCAAAGAGGCATGTTTCTTCGGAAATGAGTCAAGGACTTGCATTGTGTTCCGAAAGCTTTCAGACCCTTCTCCGTGATCTTTAAACAGTAACTGATGTCCAAGAAGGTAAGATTGGCCAAGAACCTCACATGCTTTTCAACCACCTGGTCAGTGACTTCACACATAGGGATTTGCAGTGTCTTGAGACATCTTCCACTGCAAAAAAATATCGGCATACTCTCTATAAATTAAAATCATTATAGACATCCTTGTTTCAATCTAAGATGATTAAAAAAAAAACGTGTCTCACATAAACAAGGGTTATGGGTAGGGACTGTATGCTATCCAATTAACATGACTGAGCGAAGTGCAGGTAATGTTGCGTAGAACTTCTTGTGAGTCCAAAATTGACTAATCATACAATTGGATGGCTTACAGTTATTCTCTATGTAGTCCAGACTCTCCAAAATTGTTGTCGCACTTGTGTCGGATTCTCTAAAATGCACTACTTTTGGAGTATCCGACACATACCTATCGACATTTTTGAAGAGTCCACACAACATAGGTTATTCTAACCTATGCCAAACATCACAAAATTTATTAGCATAATTGAATCATAGTTTAGACAGTTCTGAGCTATTATGTGTCCTTTCCGTGTTCATTTCCATTCTCCTTAAAAATAAAACTGGAAAATAAAAGCACAAAGGTTCATATAGAAGACATATATTAGTGGAATAAGCTAACGGTACAGATGAACAAGCTAATTCATCACCATGGAGTTTTATTTAATTAATTGAAGAGAGTAGCCTATCTGTAAGTCTTTTTATATGAATCAGGATTTAAATTGTCAAGGCATCAACTAGCGTCTAGCAGAGTGCAATTCAAAAATGAGGGCCATTTGATAAAAACTCTGCATGGCTAATCATCATACGTTGTTTTCTTTTAGCTTTCTTTCACATTTTGGCCAAATGCCCCTCAAACTTGGCTCAAAAACTTTTCATTTTTAGCACCTCAACTAGGGTCAGTACCTATTAAGCACTCCAACTTAACTTAAAGTGTACCTATTAAAGTTTAAATTCCTCATGACTAACCACTCAAAATGATACAGAGCGTGAACTACACACAGGTGACATGGAAACGTTGACAAATAAAATAAAAAAAAAACATGTGGCTTATCTTTCCAGCTAATCAAAGAAAAAGATTCTAAACAACAAGGAAAAACCTATTCCAAGACCTCAATCTTACTCCAACTCCCGTCGATGGCTCCCCACCCCATCGACTTCCCTATAATCTTCATCCCCACACTCTTACCCATTCTTCTTTAACAGCCATTTGCCACCATACATCACCTCTCTTCCACCAAAATGTCCCCACTCAAAAAAAAATCACAATCACAAACGATTTAATAATTCCTAAAACTGAAACTGCAGATCAACTAAAACAAAAAATGAAGAAAAAACACCTCAATTTTGGTCTCCAGAAAAGGGGATACAGAAATGTTGAAACTTAGCAGCCAGAAATGCCGGTTATCGAATAAATGGCATCAAGAAGATGCAGGTTAGATAGTTACAGAAGTAGTGAGATTGTAAGCTCATTTACCGAATTCCAAGCTTAATAGAATAACTGCGGCATTAACAAATTACGATCGTTAAGATATATTGTTACAGTTTTTTGTACTCCACATTCTGTCATATGCTTAATTGAGCGAGGAACTTAGGATAGAAAAAATGGTTTAGAGTTTAGAAGGAAAAAAGGATTGAATGAGGTTTTAATATGCCATTTTCAGATGACAAAGGTTACCAAGAAACAGATATTATATTTTCAAATAGGATTAGGAGAGAAATTGATTGTATTTTGTGTTTACTATGAACACTTTCAATTAAGTTCAAGAGTTCAATAGGTACCGGTCCTAGTTAAGGTGTAAAAATGAAAATTGGAGTCAAGTATAAGGGGCCTCTTATGTATTTGGCCTTGAAATTATCTTGCCCCTTTCTACCTTCTTGTTTTAAACTGTTTCTTTCTCCTTATTTTTACTTATTTATTGAATTTGTATAAGTTACATATCATATATTGAATGAATAATTTCTAGAGGCTTTATCATCATGTGTTGTTTATTTCAAAAGCTATCAATTACTTTTGTTAACCTTTTGGGATTCTTTTACAGTGATTTACCAGTTCTTAACCGAAGCCAGCAGCTAGAAACTTCCATCAAACTCATCTGTTGGACCTCTGCATTACTCCATATGGGACACAAACAAGTTCCTCCTATTGTATTAATCCATCAAACAAATTTCTCTATACACAAATACTCCAAGATCGCTATTTTCAATCAAACAAGCCTTCTTTAAACCACAATAAGGGGTGTCATACAATGCTTTTGTAGGAGCAAAGCTAGGGGACACAAGGGGATTCGCCTGAAAATTACACTATATACAATATAATAGATACAGAATCAAATTGGTTTCGTGAGTTCATTTTTTTATATTTTGAATCCCTCACGAGGTCCCTCGGTGAAAATCCTGGTTCCACCACTGCAAGTTAACAAATGCTTGAAAATAATGCAAAGTTTTTTTCATTTTTTCTTATACCCCTCTTTAGTACTAAAACCCACAATCTTAGAGTTAGAACTAATTAGTATGAATTTGGAATGAATTAGGTAGAAAAAACAGTAACAAGAACAATACCGGCTAGCAGCGGAGGAGAATCCAGATATGCCGAGACGGTAAGTGGAGAGTCGCTGGACTGTGGACCTGCTCTGGCGAACAACTTTGCGGACAACAGGGTCAATCAGGTGGGGACGCTTAGCAATGCAGCATTTCCGGCACCAGTCTTCCAGATCAATCTCCGTCCAGCAGGAAGGACCGGATACCGTCTCCATCCAATTCCGGCAAACTAACACCACCAACCTCACCATCAGATCCGGCGGAACAATCCTTAGGAAAATTGATGCTAATATCTCAGGGTTTAACTCATCCCACCTACCTCCGGTGGTGCAAACGGCGCCGTTTTCGACACGAATGCATACCCTTTTGCTCGGACCATTCATAGATTCCATTTCTTCTCTCTCTTTTTCCATTTTGGAGAGAAAGCTAAGTATTAGCTCTTGGAGTTTTCCCTTCTTGGGGTTTTGGTTTTGCTGGGAGAGTGTTTAGATGAGTGACACGTGTCAAGACATTCTTTCATAGTAACTCATCTTACGGCTGACAAATGTCAGATACGTGTGTGTAATTTCGTATTCCTTAGAATTTTACTACACATTAAAGTTTTGTGATTTGGACTTTTACTTTTTGCTAAATGCAAAGTTATTAATAATTTTTCCATAAATGATTTTTTTTATTTAATAATATAACTAATTCATTTAATATCATTTTCTTGAGATATGTCAAATTTCTTGTGGTGGGCTGGCGGCGTAGAAGGTGAAGGGGAAAGAGGACTCAAGTGATTCACGGGCTCATCACTGGTTAAAAAACACTTTTTGTGCCACATAAGGTTTTGTGTTTAATAGGTACACTTTCAATTAAGTTCAAGAGTTCAATAGGTACCGGTCCTAGTTGAGGTGTTAAAATGAAAATTGGAGTCAAGTATAAGGGACCTCTTATCTATTTGGCCTTGAAATTATCTTGCCCATTTCTATCTTCTTGTTATAAACTGTTTATTTCTCCTTATTTTTATTTATTTATTGAATTTGTATAAGTTACATATGATATATTGAATGAATCATTTCTAGGGGCCTTATCATCATGAATTGTTTATTTCAGAAGTTTTCAATAACTTTTGTTAACATTTTGGGATTCTTTTCCAGTGATTTACCAGTTCTTAACCGAAGCCAACAGCTAAAAACCTCCACCAAACTCATCTGTTGGACCTCTACATTACTCCATATGAGAACACAAACAAGTTTCCCCTATCATATTAATCCATCAAACAAATTTCTCCATAAACAAATACTCCAAGATCACTATTTTCAATTAAACAACCCCTCTTTAAACTACAATAAGGGGTGTCATCCGACGCTTTTGTAGGGGTCGAACTAGGGGCACAAGGAGATTCCCCTGAAAATTACACTATATATATATATATATTCAAGATCAAAAATTAATTTTATATATATATGGAGTCGATACTGAATCAAATTGGTTTCGTGTATTTATTCTTTTATATTTTGAATCTCTCCTTGAAAATCCTGGCTCCACCATTGTTCCTCAAATATAATAAATTGCTCGAAAATAATGCAAAGTTTTTTTCTTTTTTACTTTTACCCCTCTGTAGTACTAAATGACTCGAACCCGAGCTGCTTACCATCTGAGCAACCCTTAGTCAAATAATGCAAAGTAAATAGTATGAATTTGGGTAGAAAAAAACAGTGAGAAGAACAATACCGGCTAGCAGCAAAGGAGAATCCGACATCGCCGAGACGGTAAGTGGAAAGTCGGCGGAATGTGGACCTGCTCCGGCGAACAATTTTACGGACAACCGGGTCAATCAAGTGGGAACGATTAGCAATGCAGCATTTACGGCACCAGTGTTCCAGATCAATCTCCGTCCAGCAGTACGGACCGGACACTATCTCCATCCAATTCCGGCAAACTAAGGCCACTGACTTCACCATCAGCTCCGGCGGAACAATCCTTACGAAAATTGAAGCTAATAACTCCGGGCTTAACTCATCCCACCTACCTCCGGTGGCGCAAACGGCGTCGTTTTCGACTCTAACGCATACCCTTTTGCTCTTACCATTAGTAGATTCCATTTCTTCTCTCTCATTCTCCATTTTTGGACAGAAAGGTAAGTATTAGCTCTTCGAGTTTTCCGTTCTTGGGGGTTTTTGGTTTTGCAGGGGACGGTGTTTAGATGATGACACGTGTTAAAGACATCCTTTCATTAGTAACTCATCTACGGCTGACGAATGTCAGATACCTCCGTGTAATTAGTACCTAGGTACTCACACAAATATTCTAAAATGCTTAAAACACTATATTTCAAAAATGTATATCCATACAAATATTATGACCATAAACTTTCGAAAGTCTTAATTTTATTCTTAAACTTCATGTTTATTCAAACTTTAACAAATAAATTGCAATTAAGGAAATAGTAATTTAAATTTGATGAAAAATCGTAAATTATGTTAGACATTCCTAAATTATGATTCAGTCACAGAGATACCTCCTATATTCTAAAAGTAAGCACCTTTACCCAAACCCGTACTAATGTATAACGTTTTCAAACTAAATTTAAGTTATATACACTCATAATATAATAATTTTATTCTGCAAGAATGTCATAGTGTTTGATTTTATAATACAAAGAATACTTCTGTGCCCGAATTATAATACAGAGACATTCCACGTAATTTACTCTTTACAACATTATTTTTATTGCTAAACAATCAAAATTTTACATCGAGGTTGATATAGAGAGAAAAACAAAAGAAACTTATTCTTTTAAGAAGATTTAAAGAAAAACAAGTATTCAATATCTATGTTGTTCGGGATATTAATGCATGTTGGATCGTTCAAAAGTAGTGTATTTTTGGAAGGACCGACAAGGGTGTGAAAACATTTTGGAGAGTCCGAACAACATAGTTCAGTATCATTTGAGACATGTGGATGCACCTTCAGTTAGATTTCTGAGCCAGCAAAGTTTCCAAGTATTTCTCCACATAATCCAGGCCACACTGTGTCTTCACAACGGGTAATATGGCGGGGACGTCCAGATAGAATTCTGAAACAGACCCGTTAAGCTTGTCCCATTGTTTGAGCTGTTCACGTGCTGCTTTAACCGCTGCTCGTGCTGCACAATGGACGCTGGCTGCCAGAAGCAACGGTGGCTCACCAGATGCTGCGAAAAAGTATTCATATTAAGATTCAACGGTTTTGTACATACAAAGACGGATCCAGGATTTGAAGTTAAATGATCAATACAATGAGTTTTGTTTATTTTCTTTTATATTTTCTCTCACATCTCTTCCATTCCATAACACCTTTCATGGAATCCGCAGTTAAAAACAAACAATCAATGAACTCGGGAAACTTGTTTGACAGTAGGGACGGGGAAGTAGATGAAGAAAGAATTATACCTTTAGAGGAGAGAACACGTTTTTCGTGGTGTCCACTGTTTACCACATGAACATTGAAATTTCGAGGTATGGTGTCTATAGTCGGGATCTTGTATGTCCATGTGCTATTTGAGACCATCAACCCCTCTTCATTTGTAAGATACTCTTCGTTCATGAAAAATCCGATTCCTTGAACGAAAGCCCCTTCAATCTGCAAGGAATAGAAAAAAAAAAAGCAATTGCCACCTATTTAGAACAATCTTGTGATCAAGGATTAAATAGTTCTGAAGTTTGAATAACAGCATTTTTTTTTAACAGCTCAAATGCATGATGCACCTGTCCCATATCAACGGCTGGATTCAAGCTCTGCCCACAGTCGTAAATAATATCAGACTGCAAAATGGTAGTCTCTCCGGTCAGAATATCAATCTCCACCTGCAAAAAGAGCCTTATTGATTACTTAGCCATATGAAGGTTCTGCAGAAAATATATTGGCTGTAAAATGGTTCACATCAGAGTTCCGGGCCAAGAGTTGTGCACTCAAATATATTGAAAAATGATAATCAATGAATACGATTCACTTTCAAGATGTCATGGTGGTGAAATGGTAGGCGGTAGACACAGGAGACTCAAAATCTTATGCTAAAGAGCATGGAGGTTCAAGTCCTCTTCAAGGTTGATCATTCATTCATTCTCAATAAGAGAGGTCGGATCAAATCAGTATTAATATATTGATTTGATCCGAGCTCTTGGAATAAATTTGGCATTGGATTGTGAAATCTTGGTGATCTAATTCTCTATGTCTGCTTTAATGTAGCAGACTGAAGCAGGGGATGTTATCAAAACATGGACGACGGAACCAGAAAAAGTGCCAAACAACAAGTTTACCTCACTGACAGCAGCACCGAAGTTCAAATAACTCGTGGAATCAGATTCTGGTACATAATAAGAATTTGCTGCTAAGTTTACTGATTCCAATTGTGCCTGCAAAAAGAAGGGGGTGAGAGGGAGAGAACTGCTAACTCAGATACTTAAAAGATGAGCAAGAGTGGCTAATGGATTTAAATTAACAAATTGTTCCCAAGCTACATGCACGCGATTAGTTCAATATGGTTCCGAAGCTACATACATGGAATTAATGACCGAACGGGTCGTTACATCTTCCTCCATTGACTTTAAGTGAATCACTTTGTTATGGTCTTCAAATTGAATTCAACACAAAAAAATTCATATTCACTTGTGTTAACCGATTTCAACTAGTACTTTCCAGAATTTTATCTTGTGACCAATTTAAATTTAGCATCTTTGGAATCACGAGTACTGTTAGGACGTGACGACATGTTAAGAACAAGGTAATAATTGATGATAATGCATTCCCTGCAAAGAGGACATCTCAAAGAATACAAATTAACTGTGACTGCAAAAACCAACCCGGAAAAGCGGAAGTGACGGACTGTGACAATGTGAAAATTAGGTGGTAATATAGTGGGAAAACAAACCTGGCGAATCAGCGTTGGCCAATCAACAGAGACATTTTGTTCCTGTAACTTTTTCTTAAGAGGCCTCAGCCTTTCAACCAAGACATTACAGCAAAGTCTAACAGCTTCACAACTTGATTCCGATGTAGTGCTCCCAGCTGTATACCCACCTTGCACTATGCTTAAGGTGTCTGCTTGTATGACTCGTATTTTCTCCACAAGTTCTTTGGCCCAACTGCTTTCGATTAAACCAAGAGAATAGGCAGTTATCTGCTTAACCTTTGTCCATAACCCTTGGCCAATCTCAATCCCTCCAACCTCTACAACAATTGATCCGTCTTGCAGAATACTGACTTTTCCTGGTTTTGGTTGTTGTGTAGCTTCATACACGATTGGTACTCGAGAGATACCCCTTTTCTTCCATGTGCTTTTCTGGTTGAACTGTTCGATCATCTTGCTTCGTTGAAAAAAGCTTGAGGACACAGCCAACTTATCCATGATACTAGGCAATGTATATTCTCCTACTGATACAATGTTATCATAGACCAAATTAAGACTTTCAAATGTATGAACATTTTTATTTCTGACCGAGTCCACCTCCATCGACAGTGAACTCGATACATGCTCTATTATAGCTTCGGCAATATAAGATCCTTGCACCTCCCCAGGGGCCCGCATAGCCGATTTGCTAGTAAGATTTGTCTTGCATAGTTTTACATCGAAAGATAAGGCACCCCAATCATATTTCTTTAGTGCTTTAATCACATTTAAGGGTAACATGGGGCTTACATCGTCCGAGATCCCAGAATTTATCAATAGATCAAGATGTAATGCTGTGATCTTTCCACTCGACTTGAATCCTACACTATATGTTACTTTCATCGGGTGTCTTCCTCCTGTCATTATCATGTCACTGTTCCGGTTGACATATATCCTGACAGGCCGCCTTAACTTGTATGCTGCAAGTGCGCAGGCTGTGGAGATCTAAAATCATACATAAACTTTGACATCAGAATCAGAAAATTTCATAAACTAACACTATAGGAGATAAGCTAATAATGTTCAAAAAATAATTATGTAGATAGTAAATTTTATATCACAAACTCACAGGCATTGATCTGATTGCCTTACCCCCAAAGCCACCTCCGACTCTTCTTGTAATTACACGGATATTGTGTTCAGGAACACCAAGACAAGTGGCGATCACATGTTGTGCGCTCTCAGGGCACTGGCTTGAAGTATAAACAACCATGCAGTTGTCTTCATCTGGAATTGCAAGGGCAGTCTGTGTCTCCATATAAAAATAGTACTCGGAACCGAGTCTTACCTGGAAATGATTGTTAAAAAATCCAAGAAGTAAAAAAATTCAAACCTTTAGCATACATCTACAGTTAGACATGCTAGATCACCATCCAGGAATCAAAATTCAGGATGTTGAAGTATGTGACCATAGCATCTAACAGCTTAGAGAACACTTTTATTTACTTAACTATATCTTCAATATGCCCCCTCACGTGCGGGTTTGGTTTTACTTTTTATGAGA